GGAAATGTAATTGGTATGAATATACGTGAATCTATTGAGATAATTAAATGTAAAAAAGTAAATTTAAATTATTGAATAAGAATGATGGACCTGATGGAAAGGTTGTCAGCAGATGGTATGAAATTCTTTAATATGTAAATTGGTGTTTTGATAACTGTATAAATAAATTATTTGCAAAACATTACACTCCTGAGGATGAAGCAAAATACATGTCGAAACATGTAGAGTGTATGAGATTGTTCTGCAGTCACATCAGGGATTTTATCACTTTTTAACCTTGTACAGTAAGTTATTATTTTATTAATTTGGAGGATGGAAACAATCTCATTTTATTGAATTGTGTAAAAAATAATCGTTGTTTTTTAAATAATTTCTTTTACTTCTCAAGATTAATCACTGGATTAACACAGCAAGGATAACCGGCTGTTAATTTTATGCAGTTTGCTGTCTATTCTTATCCATAGTTTTATGTTATAACTCATAGTATCGTTAAGTTTAATAAAAACAAATTTTTTTTTCTCTCTTTATGCCAATTTTCTTGTAAATTTCAGTTGTTATAAAGGCTTGGTTTCACTCATGTATACATCAGTACTTTTAACACTATGAGTATTACTTTTCAGTTATAACCTATAATTAATTAGCTTATTTTTATTATGGCAAAAGCAGAATTTATACTTATTGTGCAAATATTTATAATGATGATGAGTAAATTTTCATTCATTTTAATTACCACAACAGTCTTTGGACTCACCTTTGCATTCAAAATTTAAGCTTTTGTAACTTTCGTTGTTAATATAATTACTATATTTGCCTATTTTAATTAAACAAATTTATTAAGATTGATAAAAATTTTTCATTTTACAACACTAAAACCGCCAAAGAACAAAACAGAAACAAATAATCATGCGACATTTAAAACTAAGCCTAAACTAAGCGTCTCTAACTTATTTGTTTACTAATACGAAAACAGATATAAACACTTGGTTGTAAGTCACGTGATTTTGGGCATGCGCAAACGGCCGCCATTGCTACGTGTTGAACTTTCAAAGCCCGCCAGTTGAATTGACAATAGCAAAAGGAAGAGGTCTCAGAGTACCTGACCCTCCTAGGTCACAAAAGACCTAAATTCCGATCAGGAGATCAGGCATAGCAAAAGGATTCCACTTCATTATTTATGGTCGTTTTCCATCTAAACTGTCCCCCGGCACAGCGGCATGTCTGCGGACTTACAACATTAGAACCCGGGTTTCGATACCCGTGGCGGGCAGAGCAAAGACAGCCTACTGTGTAGCTTTGTATTTAACTTAAAACAAAGCCATCTAAACTACACGTTTGTATAATTCTGTTTTTGATTTTAATAAATTTGTCAAGCTAAGATAATTTAAACTTGATTTTAATTAAGATATTAGTGCAAAAATCGTTCACAAACACAGATATCTGACCTATCATATACATAATGCATTAGATTTTAGCCAAGAGAGAAATCTGAATTAAGATTAAAACCTGTTCTTTTTCCTCGGTATTTATTAAGCGTTACAGAAAAATATACATCTCAAATATTGTAGCCAATGGACAAGAGGCGCCGCATCATGTCCTATTCTGGAGGGTGGAGAAGAATGTTATTTATGTATCTGCACCTCCAAACATTTAACGTTCTTATTGAAGTGGATGGAAATAATCAAGAAAATTTGTGATATGAATATTGTTACGTCTCTGGTCGTTTGTTGATTTCCCGTATAATTTCTTTCGGATGAAACTTTAGCGACACAAGTCCTTACTTAAATAAAACTAGTTTATTCTTTCTC